CTCCCCCATAACATCCATCCAAAAAAGCCCCTCCACACCCCCATCCCCCCGCCTCCATATCTCCTCAATAATGCCCAGCCCCACTACAAAAGGCTTACTCGGCATACTCCTACAAAACTCCTGAAACCTGGTCGTCACGAACCTCCTCACATCCGCAATATCGATCTCCCGACTAGTTATAGAGTTGAACATGCCAGTTTGTGCCGTTGAAAAGGGGTCTAGTGAGAAGGCGTTGTGGGTGGTGAAGACTAGTTCTGAAGCGACGGTGATGAAGAGGATGGGTTGCAGACAACGTGTTCCGGAGGTGATGGGGATTTGTCTTAGCAGGGAGATGGTGTGGAGGGCTAGGGAGAGGAGGAAGTCGGTTGGTGCTTGGTAGTGGGTTTGAGGGAGGAATTTGAAGTGTGGCTCTTGTTGAGAAAAGAGAAAGTCAGACGAAGAAAAACTGTTCATCGAGTCGCTGCTAGGAACGCGGAGCTGCAAAATCGACGGGAGAACTCGATAGATTTGGAGTAGCGCAGCGCAACGAAAGGCCTCGGCTAGGAGGATATAATGGTGAAGAGGTGTGTTTTCATCTCCAGCGTCGACGAGCGAGGATTGAGAGGGTGCTTCAAAGGCTAGGAGTTCTTCCTCCAGGGTCTTTGCTGTTTCGAGGGTTTGTGTCTGTGAATCTGAAAGCCTCAAATCCAGATCAAATGAGAAATCTAGGTTCAGGAAGTCGAGAGATGCTGCGTCTTGAGCTATGTTCTTTTTGTGGTATCGTATTAACCGACCCACCTGAGCAAACAGCTTCTGTGCTCTTGGTGCAACCCCTGTCCAAGGATGGGGAAATATCTTTTCTTGGTGATTTGAATCAGGCGGGAAAGACGGTGATAGGGTCTCAGGAGAACTGTTGAATTGAAACCCAGGAAGTTCAACACCTTCCGCATGGTCGTCAACGAAACCTGCAAGCATATCCCAATACAAAATACACTCTTTGAAGAACTTGTTCTGCCGTTGTTCTCTTATTCCTACATCACTCCCTTGCTTTTCAATTCTTCGTCTATTCAATCGCTTAGCATTCCGCAAATGCACAAGCCCAAGATCTTTCGGATTATGCCAAGCAGTAGTCTGGCCAACCAGAAGTACCGTCAAAAGTGACTTATCCAAGTCCTCTTCTCCGTATGCCTGGGTTTGATACAGAAATCGATAAGTCTCCCGCTACATTTGTATTCCAACTTGGCTCATACGTGGGAAGTGATTTGCAAGATATGCAGCAGCCATGCTCTGGATGGCGTAATATATTGGTGCTGAACCGTCCCATAGTCTACCGATGGTAGATCTGAATGGGTTCAGAGTTCCATCAAAACAGGAAAATATCCGACAAACGTAGTTGAAGTAATACTCGACAAGCATTGTGGGGAGATGGAGAAGAAATTCAGGTACAGTTAATCGGTGGAGCTGTTGTCGTATCGCTGACAGACTGTCGGTAAGCTGGCTGGAGCTAGATTGCTTTTCTGAAAGGACAGCAGGCGGAGAGAGAATTTCTTCATGAGGCAAAGGGGTTTCCGGGATAAGCACAGGTTCATCAACGGAGTCATCTTTCTCTCTTTCCGGTATAACAGATTCTTGCCGATGTTCCTGTATTGCTGCAGGACGTATTTGGGAGATATTTGCACTAGGAGCCAGCAGTTTCTAGTGTTTTGTCGACCAGATAAGCGGTTTAGCCTTATAACCAGGACAAGGAAGATTTTTCTTATAGCACTGAATACATTCCGGCTTCTTCTCATCACATTTTAGCTAAGCCATATATAGTCAGTTGCAGTTTCAGTAAGTAAGATAAGGAGCACCTGTTTTCAATTCACCCACTCGTTTAGCCTTGCATCTCAAGCATCCGTTCCGAGACTTGGGCGCCCGTCTCGGGTTCAAAACTGCTACGGTACTTTTGGAAACAACCTGCTCGCGTTGCGAAGATACCGGACCCGCGTTTGTGCTCATCATGAAACTAAGTTGTTGAACTCATCAAAAGTGGGGTGTATTTGAAGGCGTGGTGAATCAACTTTACTGCTTTTCCGACGGTGTAAGGGATGATATTCTAAATCGTCCTTCTCATACTTCATTGAAAATCTGGATTTTGAATAAATTGGGGGGCGATGGGGTTTGTATCAAAGATGCTTTGATTGCTTGGGTGCCGTATATGTACGTAAGTGGGGCACTAAATCTGGGGAAAGTTCCTCACATAAGCATTTTTTATGGTTATTCAGATATAACATTTATACTCGAGTAGGTAGAAGTGACAACTAATATATCAGTACAGCAGCGCGAGCACTAAAGGCTTCTTTCAGAAATTGATTACTTGATTCTTTGATTGTTTTATTCGTCAATGTATGTTACACCTCATCATGCTGTCCGCATATTGCCCTATGTTAAACGCCGACGCTTGCTATCATAACAGAGAATACCCAGGGTATCATAGCCAAATAATGATTCATCCATAATCATCTTCTTTTTTCCAGATTTCACCAGCCCCCGCCACTCCCTACCAAATAATACAGGATCAACGACTTTCTTCCTTAGTCATCCCTTCTACCGAATTCCCTCGAACTCCGCTCTCATCTTCATTCTTTCTCTTATAACCACATAGTCTTTCATAACCTTCTCATGCAACTCTCTTGCGTTATGCCAGTGCTTGTCGACAACTGCATCGACTCTCAAGGCTTCCCTATAATTTTCGATCTTTGAATCATCCTCCCATCCGGTCGAATTCCACGCTTGGTTTTTTCTCGCGAAGAAGTGTATTATCATTTTTGTGTTGAATAAGTCCCAGTCCCGCATGTATACCTCAAATTGCTTCATGTATTTGTCTTGTGCTGGCTTTGAAATACTTTCAGTCATGGTAGGTGGAGGTGGAGCGTCAGGCGCTGGTGGTGGGGCAGGAAGGTTGAGATCCGTGATCAATTCGTTGATGTCCTTGACCTTGAGGTCTTGTAAATTAACCCTGAGGCTCTCGGCTTCGGCTTCAACAGGCGACTGCGAATGAGTTGCCGGTCGTTTAGGCCGTTGCGCCGGCTGAGCGTTGCCATTCAATTGGGCCCCGTTCGTGGTAACGTTTGCAGTATTGCCATTTATAGTGCCGGGTACGAATTTAGGGACGGTGTGAGCCGATTTGACCAGTGGCGTATCAACATCCATAGCATCTGGACTTGGCGGATGGCGAAAAGCAGAAGGAGCGGTAGAATTGCCATCGAACAGTGGCTTATGATCCGACATCTCTCCATCATTGACAACAGCAGCAGTCCCCATCGTTGGCCTAGCACTTGTCGTTCGTGTCTTCTTGTTGGTGGGGCGAGCAGAGCTAGGCGGTGGGATTGTAGGAGTAAAAGTTGGAGCAAAAGTTGCAGGCTTGAAAACACCTTGCCAAGCATTCTTCTGAAATTTCGTGCCACCTGGTGATTCCATCATATCCTCAGCGGCATCTGTTGCAACTTGTGGTTCCATAGGCGGAATAGGAATAGGGCGAGCTTTGTTCGGGGACCTAGATCTGCTGCCATTTCGAGCACGACCACGCGTCGGAGTTGTTGGGGGTTTCTTCACTGGATTAAAGTAGCCAGCTTCAAATACTCCATCAAACTTGTCTTTACCCCAGCTTTCTTGTGTAAACGTGGTAGTGATATCTTCTGGTTTGCTGCTTGCGAAGCCATTGCTAGGTGGTTGGGTTCGCTGAAAAGTTTCGTTGTTGACATTGAAGGTAAAACTAGATTTTTCAGTAGGATTAGCATTACTCGTTTTCAACTGCTCGTAATTTTGCCAAAAAACACGCGCTTTGCTCGAAGAATCTGAATGTACTGAATGTAAATGCTTTTGAGGCTTCGGATTCTTCAGAGGGCTTCCTTCCCCAGCTTCCCGATAGGTATGCCATTGGTCGGAGTTGGTGCGGACATTTGGTGGAGTCTGAAGCTTTTGACTCTGGGCATCCTTCTCTGCTGGGGCCGCATTTTGATGCCTTGGAAGAGTATTTCGTCGTTTGCTTGAGAGAAGACCATCAATCACACTACGCTGAAGTTCTTCAAAGGCTTTCGCCCCTCCACTGGGAGGTGTTGCTGAATCCTCGCCTGATGGAAAAAGATTTGGATAACTGGCAGTCGAGAAACCACGGAAATGAAATTTTGACGAGGCTGTGTCATCGCTTGATTTGTACGTCTCCGAGACTTTCGGGATATTGCAATTGTCTGAAGAAAAAGAAGATAGAGGATGCTCCTCCTTTGGATATGACGGGGTGAAAAGACGCTCGGACTTGGCATACATCTTAGCTTCATCAGTCTTGCCGTTCTGCTGGGTCGAATCCATGCGAGGGGGAGGATCTGTGGGGAAACGATTTAGCGGATACTCTGCACCCGGATTTTCCATCACCCATTGTCGAAGTGTTCGAAGATTGGAAGTAGGCTTACGTGGGTTGACAGATCCCTGCGCAGCATTTGGTTCCGTTTGCGACAAGGGTGTAGCTCTGTTGACTGGTGGTTTGGTTCTTCGAGGCTTCCCAAAGCTTCCGCTGGTGAATAATAAATCATCGGAACCTGAATCCTCACTTTCAATATGACCCGAAGCTGGTGCGGTCTTCCGAGTTCTGGCAGATGTTCTTTCGGTAGTAGACCGAGTACGCAGAGGCGAACCTAAATTGGGATCGGAACCAGTTCTAGGGACGTCCTTCGTAGTGGCGGGTTCCCGTGTACTCTTTGATCTGCCTATGTTAGCGCTTTCATGGAGGTTAAATTTCTCTCCGCCATGTGTTGCATATGGTGTGCTTGTACGTGGCTCGAATTGAGGTCGCTGATCACGAAATTGATTCAGTGGGTCGGCTCCCGCATTGGTAGTTGACGCAGAAGGATTGATAGGAGACGGATTGCGAGGAGGGACTGGTGGAGGTTCTGGTGCTGCTCGCTGAGTAGTGAAGTAGGCACCCCTCGGTGCTGCAGGCTCATCGCCTCCTGGTGTATTTGGCATGAATCCCTTCCTTTGCGGGCTCACACCAGGTGCATGTCCAGCATTAGGAGTTTGTCTTGGTGGGGGTGCTGGTTTCCTGCTTGGTGTTGCTCTCGTCGGCGCGGGCTTACGTGTGTGGTCAGGCCTCATATGCTCCCATGCGGCATAGGTACTTCTCCTTGCTTCTGCTCCTTCCTGCGCCGAATACTGAGAGGCCTTAGGTGCGGCATTGTTGAACTGTTGATATCTCTTCGCGCCTTCGGACGGAGGTGGAGCTGCTCTTCGCGTACCGGAAGGCTTTGGGGGTGGTGGAAACTGCGAGCCTGCATTTTGCCAAGGATTTCCTCTCACACCAGATGATGTATGTCCAGTATAAGATGGTCTGTAAGCCGCAGTTCTTCTGTTTGCATCGTACCTCGCTCGTTCTTGCGTATCTGTGAGAACCTCGTGTGCAGACTGAATAAGCTGGAATTGGGCTGTGACCTGGGTCTCGCGCCCCGGATTTCGATCTGGATGATACGTAAGAGCTGTTGAGGGCCGAGAATTAGCACGCGATCAGAAATCACTACCAACGGACCAGACACGCCATACCGAGCTTCTTGAACTGCTTCTTGATTTCCTGCACATCGGCAGTAGGTGAGAGATTCAGGTCGCCATAATAATCTCTGGTGAAGTCGGCCTTCGCCATTTCGGTGACCCGTCACGAGCCTTCCGAGGAAGCTCAGTTTGGGGAAATGTGGGAAGCAAGTGGCCGTATATGGAATGCTCTGACCGAAGTCCTGAGGTTTGTTTGATCTGCAGCGAGGCGGCTCTCTTACAAGCGAGGGAGATTGATGTATAGAAACGTGTGTGGGGGTAGTATATGCTGCGGTGTGTGTAATGCAAAACAAGATGAGCAGCGGAACTCTGAAGAACGAGATGACGAGACGATGATGGTAGGGTGGAGGTGGAGGACACTGGAACCTTGGATGGTTGAGTGTGAGTACAAGTATTTGACGCGACCAAAGTCCTCTATGCTCTTCTGCCTTCCCACGGGTGGGTGAAGTCGGGTGGTTGGGGTCGTGTAGGTACAGGTACGCAGCCTTGGTGGGTCGTCTGATGTTTGATAATAGGAGCGAACGTATGGGATATTCACAACGCGATGGTCAAGGCTTCTGCTGTAGCTTGTATATGCGTGGAGAAGTATTTGTAGTCGAAGATGCGCCGCGTCCCCAGTGCAGCCACATGCAATGCAAAAAAGAGAGACTTGACCAGAAGGGCGGCAGTAGCTGCGTGAGGTTGAGGTTGTCAGCTGCTGTCGTCCTGATTCTACTTGTGCCCACTCGACTCCTACCCGTTGCTAGGTTGATATCCATACGAGTACCCCAGGCCACCACGATAAGCCCCATCCCTGTCGTTTCACGTGATAGCAGACATTACCCAAATTGCCCAGGTGGAACTGCAGGTGAAGTCAGGTGGAGGCAGGTGGTTGAGAATACCTAATCCTGTCACTGTCTTACAAAAGAATCATTGACTGGTTCTAGCTTGACTCATGTAAGCTTCACTTGTTGTTCAATGCTAAAACGCAAGTGATTGATCAACTTCAAGCAGGGCTTGTACATACTCTTGCGTAGTCAGGAAACCCAACTCCCAAACCATTTGTTTACTTTCAAGAAATTTCTGAAAGTTTGAAAGCTACGTCATAGAGGCTATTCCCGATCTCGCTTTGTCAACAAAGACATTGTGCGGAGAGATGCCTTTGTCTCGCTTCAGAAGCAGGATTTTGCACACTCATCCCTTGATACCGCCGCACTACCCATTTCCTCCAAAGGGTCGATAATATCATTTTTTTTTCTTAGCGGGTTAGTAATTGCCTTCTTTCCACTTTGTATGTAATCTGCGAGTTACCTCCACTGATTACAGCGTGCATCTGCCTGTCTGTAAACTTCAGCCCAACGACTATATACTTGTTATTGCGTTAATCCCAAGAAATATTCAGTACGAGTGTCCGCTCAGCAATACTCCGCACGGAGTCTCTTGAGCTTTCCAAAGACCCTGAAATAGCAGGGGCTGCTTAGACACGTAAATTACCTGGCTCCTGGCTCTCCTATACCTCACAAATCCCCACTATTACGCACTGAAGTGCCCCATATACTCAAAGCACCAACCAACTTGCAGTCATAACATCTCCTTCTATCAAAATCCAAGACATCAGCAATGTCTCAATGCGCCTTTGCTGCTTGTGAATATGCAGTATTCTTATTGCGATTCGTTGTTCAACGGTGTCTGAACTCCCTCAACCAAACTCAAAAATTTACTCGGATAAGAAATCGGAGATGGCTACGCATTTACATGTTGCTTCGACGAGAATTGCCTGTACTCAAGTCCATGACCAGATATGCAAGACGTTTTGTTGATGGGGTTTTTGCGCATAACAAAAACGAGATCCTGATGAATAACACGAAAGACAAGGGTGAAAGGTGTGTGATTAACATTACCGACGTAACGGGACTTTCGAATCGTATTGCAATTCTGCACATACTCAATTGTGCGTAATATTCTCTCAAAAACAGAAAGAAAAGATTCCATAGGGGAAACCAAACTTGTGGATGAGAGCCCATACATATACGCGGAGTTTGTGGTGTTTAGTGGAACGTTAAGAAAAAGAACTCGCTCATTGACTCAGGAAACTTTACAACTTGCCTATCCTCAACGACATTGACTTCAAACTCATCCTTTCCATTTCCATCTATGATGTCTCAGGACCAGCTAGCATGGCCGCGGAGGTTCGATGTTATTTCATTTTGTTTTTAAATAGTGAAGGTTCAACGAGAAATTACTCTTTTGCTTGTTGGTGGGAGCTAGGAAAGAAGGTCTAGCAGCCCAAGATTGGACTATCGGATGAGTGCACAGGGAAGTGAAAGGCTACGACCTTATGAGTGACACTGTGCTTTACCAAAACTAATACCGCTTCCAACGCGATATCTCAAGGAAAAAGAAATCTACAGACTCCGATGACCAACAAGTGTCAGCCACAAGGAGAGATGAGACAGGAGAGCTCAGCCTGACTATAAGAGAATCAAAATCACGGTTCTGCCCAACCAAAGCTAAGGATTTTATGTTGATGCCAATCACCTAGCCTCTGGATTATATCGTACAAGATAACAAAACAAAGGTCAAAAAACTCAAAGATCCGTCCTTCTCCCACTCGTGCTCCACCATACATTTACCCTCATAGCATATTCCTTCGTCCCACGGAACGGCGATGTCGTATCGTTGAACGGATCCCTTTGCTCTGCTGCTTTATATAAATCAACTAATGGTCCATGTACCGGCACGATCGCTTGGTTGCGATTCCAATGAATCAACAATGCTTAAATCAAATCAGCATCATCGCCAGATACGTACTCAACGAGTCATGGAATAGACTTACCGATGGCGAACAAAGTGTAGGTATCAGCATTATGCATAACAGTGAATGGTCCATCTCCCAATTGAGAAATGAGAAGAACATTCCTTTCGCCAAGTGCTTTTGCATTGGTTAGTTGGGGTTCATTAAGTCCAGTGAATTCATGCATGAATTGCTATGACATGATGTTAGTCTTTCGATCGATCGTTAGAAATGAAGAAAGATGCTTAGCTTACGCGTTCAGCTTCATCGCCAGCGTCTATGACATCCACATTCATAATACTACCATTATCGAAAGGACCTGCTATAAATTAATAGAGATTCCCCATATTCGCCCCTGAGCTGAACTCACCATCACTTGGAAAAGGCGATAGCACAGTCCCGTAAATGGAAGAATCCCCAACGAATTGCATCATCGCGTGAAGAAGTACACCCTGTCTCGTAGCGCGAAACCGTTCCAGCTGTCCCTCTGCCGTTGCACCAGGAAGCATGTGTAAGAAATCTTCAAGAGTCGCCCATTCTTCATAGAGTATCAAAGTGGGCATTCCTTGACGATTTTCGTATTTGGCGACGAGTGTTTTGGGCTCGCCTTTGGCGTTCATTTCTTTGGCAGGTGGAGTTTTTTCTGCTACTATCTCAAGCTTTTTGGGAACATCGGTGCCTGTTATGATTCCGCCAGCGAGGCGACGGAAGACATCTGATTACGATTTTGCAGTTAGTGGATGGAATACCAAACATAGGAGCGGAAACGTACCGATAACTTCTTTGTGATAAGATGCTTCGCCAAAGAATTGGAGGAAGATAGCATCGGTTTCTCGGACACCGTCTACAACGTAGTCGGCGAGTTCGATTATTTGGTCAATGTAGCGGTTTATGTCATCTGTGGTTATCGGACGTGGGGGCTTAGTACCCTCAACTGGGAATCCTTTTAGAGTGATATTCCATTTTGCACCAACGGCTCTTGGGGATATCTCGTTGGAGGCTTGTGCGAAAGCAATGCTTCGTAGGTGGCAGAGGAGGAAAATACGTGATATTATTTGGATGAGATACATCTTAAGGAACGTGGATACCCAAATGATAGACAAAGGGATCAAATTTTCCACCAAAAGATATTTGATAAACCCTTTAGGTTTATGTCGAGCCCGGAATAGATAGGAGGGAAAAAATAACTGTAAAACCTAACCATCTTTCTCCTCCAGCTTTGGAAGTACTGCCAGCCCAAGAAGGCCACGAGCTTGCGAAAGTTCACAATATAGCGGCCAATATAGCGCTTTGAGATTCGTTCAGGCCAAATTTCAAGTTAAGATTACTTTTCGCTTTCACGAGTATGTGAGGAGGACGAATGACATTGTTCGCTAAGCGAGAGATGATGTGACAAGGAACATTAATGCTGACCTCGTGTTCCACGAACTGTTAAACAATAATTAGAATGCTGGTGTCGCCAATGAGCTGGCTTGATCTTTGTCTGGAAACCCTTAATGAATCTAGAGACTTCTAGGCATTGAATCGACGAGATAAAGTCAATTACATTTTAATAAACTAAGTCAACACGTGTGTCAGTACAGGCCAGCTATCCCAGCGGGTCGCATCCAAGTCTTCGTATAAGATACCTGGTCTCGGCCGTTTTCTACCCTGCAAGCCCTATATTGAAAAAATGTATCATAGGGGTCCTGGTCATTACTCTGTAAAAAAAAAAGGTCATTACAGTATACCAAAAGTCTGGCACAAGCAACTTTCATTGTCGTAGTATACCTGGATTAATGGTAAGTCAAAAGTGGTGATTATTCTAAACCGATCGTATAATAAGTTTAGTCATATAGTACGAGCATTTTAGAACAATATTATTTGGACTTACGGGATCGTTCAGAGCAATGACCACGTTAGCACGTTCTTACGAACGCTAGCTAACAGGCATGTCCCTAAGAATACACCTTTCTTATCTGGCATACTTTTGAGATAATATGACTACAATATACGTACAATCACATGCCAGTTGAAATTATATTGATGAATGGAATGAGTCCATTAATGGACACCCAGCAACATGAGAACAAAATTAGCGCAGTTGTGTTAGAAGAAATGCAATACGATAGAAGCTCTCTCGAGATGTTGCGCGACACAAAGCCCTCCACCTGAGCCTGAACATTCTCCTTCTCCATAGAAGCCTCATCGAGACGGTCACCATGTTTGATACTCTTCTCTTTCTCTTTCTTCGTGCACTTCCTCTCTCGTTGGCGGCAGAATGCGGAACAAAGCCGCTCACCGATATCACAGACAACAGCACATTCGAAGCACGTAACTACCAAGAAAACTGGTGGACTGCCAGAGAAGCCCTCTGTTCCCAAACGGATCCTTGTTTCGATGGAAACACAGATTGTACAGTCCGAGTCGCGATCAACCTCGCAAGCACTCTGGCCCTCTCCAGAAGTGGCCCCAAGGAAAACCCAAAATTTGAAAAGTGCTGGAATGGTACTGTAGGTTTCTTCCAACGGATAAGGAAATCCAGAATTTTCATTGACGAAACGAATTAGGCAGATATCATCGAGCAATGCGTGAAAGAAGCCGGAGTTGCAGACGGTTCCTGGACACTTCCTGAGGGCGTGTTTAAATACGGAATCGAGAAGACGGAACCGATTCCAGATATTGGAGGTGCGGCACTTGTGGATAAGACGTTGCCATCAGCCCGATTCGAATTTTCAGCACCAGCACCGACAAATCTACCACCGAAACCAAGTTTCGACGACGCTTATAATGTAGTTTGTGACGTGGGAGGCTTCAAAGGCTGGGGATTTAGTGGCTGGGCTTGGGGTGACCAGGTATGCTACTTCAACTATCCAAGTTCCTTGACTCTGTATAGTTTACTTATCCTTCCATGGCTAGATAAATGATCCCAAACAAGCAAACACAAAAGGCTCAGGTTATTCCGCATTTGGTGATTGCCACAGAACTCCCGACGGACATGAGAACGAAGGATTTGCGTTCCAGGGGTGCGACACGTATCGGTTATATACCTTTAAACGAGAAGATTGCACAGGTGGGAGAGCAAACAAAGAGGGCGAGGATTGGTCCTATGCTATTTACGGCCCGGGATGGCTTCCGGAGAGGATTGTTGGCCCTTATAGGAGTTGGAGGGTATTGGCAGGAGAGCCACAAGTAGCCCCGGAACCTGAAACGTAAGTGGGTTGTACTGTAGATAACAGCTGTAGTCTTTTGTTCGGCGTTTGGAATTATAATCTGAATTACGATAACTATCCGGTAAAACTCAAGCTAAATAGAACACCTGATTTGAATTTGATGGATTAGTCGATTCGACCTCAATTTGTTTCTGGAAACAGTTCTGGAGGAAGATCCGTAATTTACGTTTGACGTTGAAGGTAGTGTTAACATTAAGGATAGAGCAAACCCTTGGTGTGGTATATATGCTGAGGGGTATGCAGGGAGATTTGAGTACAATTTGATACCATCGCTTAGCGATTAAGTAATAACCCCGAGCAGAAACAAGAGAGAACAGAGAATATATACAAATAAGGGATCTGGGGGTATTTGGGATATCACCAGCGAGAGGAGCACAAAATAAGGCCTTCCCGTTGTTCCTCGCATATTTGATCCTAAGTGGAGCTTGCTGTGCTCTTGTAAAAATACAAGTTAGGGAGTACTACAGAAAGTGGATCAGATTATTGATTAGACTCCGTGGTAGAGTTGAGGTCATTGTAAGGCTTGTTTACGCGCAAGGAGAAGTTTGTTGTCTATGTTTGCCGAGCGTTAAACCATGATTTAAGCGAGATGAGTTGCTTTACATTGTAGGTCAGGAAAAAGTGAGAGTAATCATTAAGCAACTTCTTTCCGCAGATAAATTTACTTTGGCAGGTTCTCCCTTCCAAGTCTTCCCAGATCATCTTCAGGCTTCTCGTCGGAAGCAAAAATTCAAAGTCCGTATGTCAGATTCAGCAGCCTGCGAAATCAAACAATTCCATAGCCCAGCCTTGAATTGGAGGCTCTTGGAAGCACAATCGTAGGTTGGCTCATTTCTGACTCCTGTCATATGAACTTCTACTATTTATTCATGCCGCGTTACCGAGTTTGTCACTCGTGAAGCTTGATCCCATTCGGAAGGCAGGGTTTTCATGGATACTGTGCTTATTGTGGATCCCCATCTTCACAGAGCACAAGGCATTGAGTCACAGTAAGATGCCGTCGAAAACAATATTCGTTCGACTTTTTAACGTGCAGTAGATTGTGTAGATAATTTGCTGGGACTCTGGGCGTGACAAAGGTCGAGGTTCAGCTCGGGCGTAATCAGCCCCCGAATTGTGTTGGATTGTGGACCAACGGACTCTTCTATCCTCCGAAAACGGATAGTTGGGTCTTTACGGAGTCATTTCGCAGAATAGAATATTCGAATATATTTCTACATGTGTATACTTACCGGCGCTCTTGAATTACCACCTTTTACCTACCAGTTATATATAATCCTGCATTATTCCATTATCTTCTTCTAACAAATACCAATCTTACTGTCTTTTCTACCACATAACAAAACTTCTACATCGGCCTTCAAACACATCAGTATGCCCTCGAATCAACCAAGAATCGCCATCGTTGGCGGAGGACCTGCTGGACTTACAGCCGGAGTACTTCTCCATCAGAATGGCATCCCATTTACAGTTTTTGAGCTTCGTCACAAGCCGGCCCCTCTGGAGCTTGCACAGCCCATCAGGATGCTTGATTTACATGAAGAATCCGGTCTTGCTGCTATCAGAAAGTGTGGTTTGTTGGAAGAATTTTTACCTCTCACCAGGGATTGCGCTTCAGTGATGAAGATGACAGATAGAGATGGAAATGTTCTCTTTGCTGTATTCTCTTTGCTGACACCGAATCCAATGACGATCGCCCCGAAGTCTCTCGAAGCGCTCTCAATGAGCTCTTGGTCTCCAAACTTCCTGGGGAATCGATCAAATGGGGCCACAAGCTACTCTCTGCGACAACTTTGGACGATGCTGAAGTAATGCTTGATTTTGGGGAGCACGGAAAACAAGTATTCGATCTGGTCATCGGAGCTGATGGCGCCTGGTCGAAAATCCGCAGCATACTGACATCTGTGAAACCGCATTACTCGGGTAGACATATAATCACCCTCACTATCAAGCAAATCGCAGTCAAATATCCACAACTCGTCGAGCTGGTCTGTCCTGGAACTTTCTTTGGTATTGGGGGGGGATGGACATGCGGTAACGGCGCAACGGGGTGCTGGAGACACGGCGAGGATTTATGTCTTCATATCAACCCCAGATGTGGAGTTCGGGAACAGCTCAGGCCTGAAAGGCAACACCGTCAAAAGCGGTCAGAACCAACTTCTTACCCTTCTTGATCAGTGGGGTCCTAAAATTAAAGAGTTGGTGACAATTGGATGTGAAGAGGAAACGGAGAACAATCCTGATGCGAAATTTGACATTAGACCTGACCACAGCTTGCCTATCGACTTCTCCTGGAACAACAAACCGGGAGTGACAATTATTGGAGATGCAGCTCATTTGATGCCTCCGTCAGGCGAGTGTGTAAACATCGCAATGTGGGACGCAGTCATGTTGACACAGGCCGTAATCAAGGCTCATGAACAGAATGAGAGCGGTGCAGATTTCCGGACAGCTTTGAGTCCTTTGGTGAAGGATTTTGAAGTCGAAATGCAGGCCCGGGCCAAGCAGGTTGGCGAAGAGTCTGCAAACATGCTCGGACTGATGTTTTCCAAGGATGGCCCCCTAAATTGTGGATTTTTTCAAGAGTTTTTCCTCTGGGCCGAGTGAGAATGGAGTATAGCTTACTCGTATTTACTACTGCACCTTACTATCCAATTGTTTTTTTGGGAGGTATTGCATCAGGGCTAGCTTTCCCATGGCCTCTCAGTATTTTCCATATTGAAGGAGACGAGAAGAGGCGAGACTTAAGGTTGCTGCTTCGAACCCGGGGATCTTCCAATTTCTTTTCTCTAACTCTCAACCATGTAGACGTCGCTCTAGAATGGTAAGAACAAATTCTCGGATGATAAAAGGATGGAACGACTTTGACCTCGTCCAGAGTATCAAACCCCCTCGCGGGGGCGGGGCTAGTTCATGGAAAGACGTGCACACAAACCCCCACCACTCTATAATTACAACTTTCCTTCAATGTTTCTTATTTCACAAATACACGACATACTTTAATTCGGTTTTTAAGGAAATTCTCTACTCAACCATCATTCTTATACTTTCCCAAAGTTCCATGATGTATCCTATTTAAGGAGCGTTCCACTGCATACAGTAAGCCACAGAGTGCACGTGTCGAAAAGCAACTTTCTACTTCGCCTCACAGCGATGAGCGTTTCTTAAACTGATCCTATTTTCAACTTCATGCCACAGACATTGCTTACTCATAATACGTACGAACCATGGAATTCAATCTCATAGTTCCCGTACCGCGCGGGGCCGCGGGTCAAAAGGGCGACGAAGAAATCAATGGAAGGCTTTGGCGGGTTACCGGCCCCCACGATAACCACGAGATCACCAAATTGAAGTTCAATTGTATCTCTTACGTCTGGGGTATAGGCGTCGAGCCGAGAGGAAGCTTTTTCGATTGTAAGCGAGAGATATCGGACCAGACAAGACCGGCTCTTACGGCCGCTATGAAAGCTGCTGAGAAATTGCATGCAGGGTCTGGAGGAGAAAGGATTGAAGCATTCTGGATTGATGCAATATGTATACCTCAACTTGAAGTACCAGCACGCTTCAAGACCCTTGAAAGGTGTGTGGAAGCCACTACCGGGCATTTTCCGTATTTGATCTAACTTTGACAGCATGGGATTCATCTACAATGCTGCAACCACTGTCCTCATCGTCCTCGCACCCACCGTCTTCGAGGCAATCTATGTAGCCTCTTCTAAGACCAGCCCAGACCTTCTCACTCTACAGCAAATGCAACTACTAGAATCCGATCCCTGGATAAGTCGCGTCTGGACATATCAGGAACTCATCAATGGCCATCCCGCCTACTTCACCACCTCCCACCCAACCGAAATCTCCATCATTCCTTCGGAGAAGTTCTTCAATTGTGTCGGCTTTTCTCTCGACAAATGGAAACGCACTACAGGCTCCTCTCACCTAACAGCCAGATCAACCTTCCCCAATCTCAATACCCTCGAGGACACCATAGGCGACCTTTTAATGGCCGGAATCTTCGAGATGCCTGCTCTGAGTATCTTGAGCAACATAGCCTTACGAAGCTTCGATCCAAAGTACCCGAAAAACAGATTATTAGCATGTCTAGGTGCATTAAAGACAGAAGTGAGTTGGGGACCGCCGTCCTTAACGATGGGAGCTTTAAGTGAGAAGTTGATGAGAATCTGCAAAGACAAAGGGGATTACTCGTTCATTTTCACCGCAGACAAAAGGATGGATGTGCCTGGAAAACGGTGGAGACCTAACCCAGATCAACCTGAAGGAGCTGAGCCCGTCCATCTTGTGCCGTTGATCAATTGGTATTGTAATACGGGTGAGGCCCAACGCGGACATTTCGATGCCGAGGGACTGGTTTTGGAAAATCTGGTGCTGCTTCAGCAAGCTGAGAAAATGGATATCATGGTTGAAAGCGAGATTGATGGTTTTTTATATGGAGATGAGGATGGTCGAATAGGGGTTCTTCCACAACACGAGACTAATACAAGTCAATACGCTGCTCTGCTTAGGTTTTTCGTTCAGATCGGGTTCAAAGGATGTGCTGAGTGTATAGTATGTGCCGAAGGTCTATTCTTTCCACAAGAAAATATTAGTCAGGAGCATGTCGTTGAACTATTCGCCTCCCTCAGTCTTCCATATGTATTTGGCAACGTTGGATTAGCAAGATGGAAGGAGAGTTCTGGTGTGAGATACTGTGCAGGTATCTTTATCGGAATCGTACAAAACGAGAAATCTCACTCAGTGCGGATAATCTAGAAATGAACAGGATCTGAGTCTATGCTTATAATTAAACTTCTCTACCATGCATAATTCACCAAACATTTTCGTCTTCAGCGAGCGGCTTTCCTAGATCCCACTCTCCGTAAACCTGACCTGACCCATATCTCAACGATTGAGCCCGTATAGATTTTTCTTGCTCACATTTACGAGGGGTATTCAGTAGAGTACAAAACAATGCCCATCACAACCTCCACATCTCATATCATTCAGGGGTCCTTATTGCTTTCAGCTGGAGCATACCAATCTTACCCATACAATACAATATCTCCATCGATATCAACATTACTCAGCCGTATACCCCGTTAAAGGATGTACCTACCATAAGAGAACTTAGTACAACGCGCGCAGCGTTGCAAATTTCTTTAGACATCTAAGCGAGTCAATAATACAAGAACAATAACAAAATGACTAAATCCTACTATTGGGTTGAAAGGGTATTGGGTACTGAAGGTCATGGAGAATTGATTGCATTGTAAAAGGTAGCTATCTAAGGTGTTTATATAAAGAGTGTAAGGTTTAGGCAGACATGAGACATTTAGGCAGCAGAACTATAAGTGGATCAAATAAGGAAGTGGAGCAAAAGAGAAAGTAGACCCAGCACAACACCTACATATCTCGCTCCGTCAGCCCCGAGAAATACGTAGACATCCCCCCCCCCCAAGGAGAAGATACTGATACTAATAGATAAAGATAACCCCTCTTTACCACCCATCTATCTTCAAGAATGTCCTCAACAAATCTCCAGAATTCATACACTCATAGAACACCACAGCATCAACCAAGACAGCGAAAAAATCCCATCATATGCACCACAAGCACGAGACACACCCTCAAACCTCACGACAACAGATCCCATAACCATATCGAAATCCCCAAACTGCGCAAGACCACAGCCCAAAAAAAGAGCGCCATACCAATTATGTATATCTTCAATATCCTCAGAACGCGTTCGCAAGAGCACACCTTAGGGGATCACGGTCCCAACTACTTCACAAGCAGACACAACTAATGACAGTCAATCCGTTACTTGTATAGGTAACCAAATAGTGAGATGGATATAACAAGAACTTACCAGATGATGGATGGGTGTGCGAATATTACTATCTGGCAGGAGGATCACATATCATGGATTCATGGCGCCCCTTGAAAGTATCTATGAATTTATGAAAAATAAGAAAGGTGCCCTCTATACTCCCGATGATTGTTTTGTTTCTCCAGGACTAAAAATGTTGTTGGCTTTTCTAGACTTTACGGGGAATCTCGATGGATATGATAGAGAATAAATCATAACTGGGAAACTTGCGTTGACCCTTCTTACCCCTGATGCACCATACCAGGATGGAATTAAGCGAGGGGATAGATGAAAGCCCATGCATGGATGATCGTTGAGAAGACGACGACACAACTTCGATAAGATAAGAAAATAGGTTCACTCTATCGAAATTTTACAGTGGCAGCTCTCAAAAGACAGTTGAATACAACTGAGTACCAATAAACTTTGTGGTCGACTAGTCTTTTAGTTAACCCATCCCTCAATAGCCTCATCAACCTTTGATCTATACACTTGCTGAGTCTTACACTGCTCCAAGAAAACCTTGTACTTGATATCAAGAAGCTTGCGCTCCTGTTCGTTCTTTCCAGGTCTGGTAACCTTACCAGGTTTACTCATACGATCCATGATACTCCACAAATCCTCGGTCTTGCCTTCCTTATCGGCACTTGCGGCTTTGGCTCCTAACATGGCGGCTCCGTGGACAACCGCGGCATGTACGTATCTTGGAATCAAAACTGGCATGCTGCATGTCGTGGCCATCAGCTCCATGAGAATCTTGTTCTGACATTGAGAACCAGACATGAAGATACTGGTAATGGTATGACCAGATTCGTTCATGGTCTCGATGATTTGTCTGGTTTGCATGGCGATAAATTCCATGGTGGCATAGTAGTAGATGGCAAGACCGTCCATGCTACGATCACTACTAAGACCGATGACTGAACCTGTCATGCTAGAATCGGCGATTGGGGATCGGTTACCCCACAGATCACCGTAAAAGAAGAAGTGACGTCCAAGGTAAGAGACAGTAGGCGCTTGAGTCTTCTCCATCAACTCCTCGAGATGAGAGTTGAGGTAGTCATAGATACTGGTGTTAAATGACTCGGCCATTGACATTGTCTCGTTATATGCAGGGTGGGTCTCCAAAACATGTTTCAATAATTCTCCGGTCGCTGATTGACCACCCTCAGCCATCCAGAAACCGGGTAAAAGAACGTCTCTGTATGGTCCCCAAACACCATCAACGAAGACAGGCTCCTTGGACATGGCAAGATGGCAAGTCGATGTTCCAGCAACCGCAGCCAACCGGCTGAATGCTTGAGAAACGTCGTTTTTTGGCACATGGCTGTCCAATTGTCCACCGCCAAGATGGACTTTTGCACCTACCGTTCCAACCCAACCAGCATATGCGTCTATGACACCACTTCCAACCGCAATACCAGCAGGCAGACCAAGTTGGCTCCCAGCCTTTTCGCTGAGTGTGCCGACAAGTTCACCTGCGCTCAAGTATTTGCCGTTCTAGAATTATTAGCGTCGGTTTTTTATGAGGCCAGGAAAGCTCACCACCCCGTCAACTCCACCCATTCTGATGAAGTTATCTTTGGTAAGGTCTCCCAGACCAATTGTCTCGTAGAAGTCTTCCTGCCATCCCTTAACGCTTCCATCTACACCGACTGGCACGAAACCCTGTTTGCAGACCGTACTGCAGAAACTTCTGGTCTCGTTGCCAGTGGCCAAGTGGGTCAATGCATCGGCCAAATCATAGAACTTGCATCGATCAAACATCTCTGATGGCATATTGTTCTTCAACCAAAGAACCTTTGGAATCTCCATCTCAATGCTCATCTTACCGCCAACATAACGAAGAAGGTTGTGCCCAGTAGCATTGATCTTCTCCGTCTCCTCAATCGGTCTATGGTCAAGCCATAAAATGACATTGCGATCATTTCCATCGTTTGTAAAGTTTGGACTGGTGACTGGCATAGGCTCGTCTGTGTCATGGGCAAATACGGCGAGAGAGCAAGTGGCATCAAAACCAATACCTCTAACAGTTGTTGGGTCGATGTTGTGTTGGCTCAAAGCTCTTTGCACACAGGTACAGATGCATCTCCAAATGTCAGTAGTAGATTGCTCATAATATCCCGTCTCTGGTTGCCACAGCCCAATGTTCTCGGTAGCCACTATTTTGTGTTAACTTGTGTGACTTGGAAATAGGGCAAGGTGGGGTAGCTTGGGAGCTTGGGAGCGTGCCGCTTAGTGTCCGGTGGCTTTCGGGTGTACCTACAGGCCTTAATGTCTCCAGAGGCATCAATGATACAAGCACGGGCACTTCCCGTTCCCACGTCGATTCCGATATAATGGTCCATGTGCGGATTGAGATCGTTGTGTGGACTTGGAGTATGTCAGAAAAGAGCTGCTGTGTGAGGAGCGGATGGTTATGAAGGATTCTTACTCCATGCTCGCTTGCCGCGAGGGCTTTCGGAAGTTCTGACGGAAGGGGATCTGTGCCATGGTGAATTACGGCCTTCTATTTGTTCTTCAGGTCAGCCAGGGAAAATTCAATTGGCAGTGGTGTTGCAATGTTTTCTTGTGTTGCCTCAAACGCGGGGTAATGATTGGCGCTACCAGCAGACGAGGCAGGCAAAGTGAGGGACCAAAGGTGAAGAAGGAATGACTGACAAGACAGTGGTGATGTGAGTATATGAAGGAATGCTGTTGGCCGACGAATGGTGGCAGCAGAGGGCGTAGATGGTCGGGGAAAGCTGCAGATGCAGGTTCAGGTTCAGGTTCAGGTTCCTTTTTTTTTGGCACTCGAGTAGACGGGTAATAGCGGGGTCTTGGAGGGGAACGTTAGTCGCTTCTCAATTGTTGGGATGGAGGCAAGCAAAGATGGTAGCACGACACTACTCTCGACGTTTCGGGTGCGATGATGATTTTGTAGAGGGTTTGGGAGAGATGAAAGAATGGATTGTGCTGTTGGGGCTGGTCGTCAAGAATTGGATGTGCTGGACTGCAGGCAGGAGCTGATACTGCTGGTCTGCCCAGTCAAACCCCCACCTCGTCATAATCCCCACTATTTCCACTTTCTCCCCATGCGTCCCTATGAGATGTTGAGCATCACAGCTGGCCATGCGAGCCATCTCATCTTCACGATGCCGGTGGAGCCAAATAAATGGGGTCAACAAAACCAGGGCTTCAAGCAGAAGGCCCAGAAGAAAGAAACATGCCCCACGTATAGGAATGTGGAGGTATCAGGGCTAGCAGTCGTACACCGACCGGTGTAGTATAAATCCACCAACGCCGTTTCTGTGGCACGAGTTGGAAGAGGGGCAGCTGCAGCACTTCAACGACTCCACGCCAGGAAATCTCACGATGTTTCCCCGACCCCATCCCGGAGAGATCAGAGCTACTCCGTACTGCACTGCAGCAAAAAGCATCTGTGATCACCACATATGCCTGCAGCATGTCTCGCTTCGTCTCCCTCCAGCTGCCATGAGGCATTTTGCCCGTCACACGCACCAGCCAGACGGCCTTGGACGGTAATAATGTCACTCAGAAAACCCAGAAAACTCAGACATACTTCGTAGACACCGTGTATGAGGGGGGAAAAGGGCGACGGGAGGCATATCTTTTCAGGGCTTCCTTCTAATTGCAGATGCATATGGGGGCTCTGGAAGGAGGTCCTGTAGGTATGTACCGAGTACCTTGGTAAGCGGTGTGCATCGGAAGTGCATTTCCAGAAAGTATCTGTCGTGTCGACAAACCTTAGGGCAACCTTAAGCAAGTATGCGTCTCGCTTCTGATGCGGCAGCCCTGGATGCAATACATGGGAGAGTGAAAGTCGGTGGCCGAGTACTACACGAGTATATATAGAATATGTAAGATCTTACCTAGTATACCGAGTACTTCGTAGGTATGTATACCACCGATTCATTCAAGACTTAGTAAAGTGATAAGAATACTTACTTAGAGGGGTGGTAAGTGACGCTCCGCTGGCTCTCCGAGGGCCACTGCCGTGGAGGTCGGAATCGCTACGCTCCAGAGTTATGTTGCATCTTGCATCTTGCATCTCGCATCTTGCATCTTGCATCTTGCTCGACAAGGCTTTCCTTAGGTTTTAAAGGGAGTAGTAGAGAGTATTGGAGCGTAGCGATTCCGGCCTCCACGGCAGTGGCCCTCGGAGAGCCAGCGGAGCGTCACCCAAGAGTGTTCAAGGTGGTTTTTGTATTTGTAGGTGATGCCTGCGGATGGCAGAGATTGCTGGGGATATAATATTTGTTGCCTCCTTCTTGGCATAAAATCCGTGGGCGAGAATGCATATGGGGGATCGGCTCGTCTGATCTTTCCAATTGCTTGATGGCGCTTGATATACTGTGCAGTACAGTAGTACTGTCCGTAGTCGCAGTTAATGACTGTGCAAGGCAATAGCGACTGGGACAATTCAAAAGCTTCGAGCCGTTTTGGATGAAATTCGGATGGAATTGCCCCCTACGGCACGGTTCAAAAAACACGATTGCGTTTGCATCTACCTACTATTAAGTAGAATCTGGAGCTACTCGTACAGTAAGTAGTCACGGACAACCTTAATCTGACAAGGCCTCCAGGCACCTACAGGTCCCCACAGCCAATCACTCCACTTAAAACGTCTTACTGTGGCTAGCGTAACGGAAAGTAGCCTGCCAAGCATCGTAGCGCAGTGCAACTCGAAGCTCACTCGTCACTCACACCATCAAGCAGCTGCCCATGATCATCACTTGCAACATCGTGGTGGGTAGGTTCACATGGTGTTTTAGTGCTCACGATATCAACAAATAAATCCCGTCCGCACCCGCGTCGCTCAGAATTCGCTCTTTCTGCCACCAGCACTCAACACACGACTTCCAACACACACCTCGCTCTGTGCTAAAAGGGGAGGAAATAAGCAAACTCGTCAGCTTCGACTATCATCAAATCCGTTCGCTGCTTGCAACGCGCCCATCTCTCATGCCTCGCGCATCCCTTTCATCTTCGTTCGACAATCGACGATTACCCCCATCATAGGCACATAGGTCAGGCCAGGCCAGGTGAACCACCAACCAACCCACGTTCCTCTCCGCTTTTCTCCATTAGCCTTATCCTATTTCAAACATCCGCGTGGGCAGTGGCGGCAAATAAAATAATACTGTACCATGCCTTCATCACAGGATAACAATCCCCCACCAGTGAGGGAAACCCCTCAGTCTGCGACCGACATGTCGACTCCCGCATCTCCCACTGATACTCGACATCCCTTAACAAGTATGGATGCAGTCGCACAACATGGGGATGGGCCTTCAAGCTCCCATTCCACAGACAATATGCGCCGCAGGCTAGAACCTCAATCATATGGTACGCAAATAGCTGAAATAAATTACAGATGAATCTACGGCTTCCCAGATGCTTTTCTTGTACCTATTTTGCGGAAACTAATCTGATCTCAAGGCACTATTTCAACGCCATCGAGTTCCCACGATCAGAGAGCCAGCGAACCATCACGCGGAAGTGAACGTCCACCACCAATTACTGTGGACTCCTCCCGTTCTGTTCAAGGTGCCCGGTCCCCAAAGCTAGGTCCAGATCGCGGAAGGGTTGGCCAGAAAGTGCCCAAAAAACCTGGCATGTCCCGTCGAGCCTCATCGAATCCCCAGGGACCACATCGAGGGCAAGAATTCTCGGTGGATGACGACGTGACAGAGATTGACGGGGGTGGTAGTTCAGCACGTCACAGTGCTGCCTCAGGGTTTGGATCCGTTCGGAATCAAGGGGGGTCATCCACAGTCAGGCGTCGCCCTACCACACAGCTGCCCCCATTGACGAGGGTCGATTCATCGCGGGGCGAGGAGGAGGAAGGTCATACTGAAGGAGATAGGGCTAGTCAAGCAGAAATGCTGCCCGAAGAGACTGCTCCAGAGACGACGGAAGAGGGAACACTACACGAAATGGAAAACATCACGCCAGACTCGGTTGACGATGATAGTTTGAGTGACGCGGAAAGCTTTACACTCAAGGATCGACAAGAGGCCATCAATGAAACTCATCCATTTGGTATTCGAATTTGGAAGCCAGCTCTTTACAAGAAAAGCAGATCAGTACAAAAGACTGCCGAGGGCGATATTCACTCTTCTCCAGGTGGTAAAATCAATGCCTGGTTGATTGTGTTCAACATTTTGTGGACCTTATGCTTTGGTTGTTGGCTATTTGTTATTGCGGCTCTTGGTGCCATCGTGTGTTTTATCGCCGCTGCGCCAAGTGCTATTGCATATGGCCGTGTGCTATGGGGTCTAGCATGGTACCTCCTTTATCCGTTCGGCAAATTTGTTCGCTTAGAACAAGACGAGGCTTATGCCCACGAGGACGAAGGCGAAGGACGGAGCATTACAGAGTATGAGCAATGGCAGAGCGGTGACATAGAAGACGGACGATTATTTTTCGGTCCACAAGGAAGCAGGTCCATTGTCGGAAGGTCTAGGCGGAGTATCGACTCAGGGGTTAGCGAGACAGATAGTCTCCTAGGTCGCTCACGACGAGGTGGAACTACTCCTCGAGCATCTTCCGTTATCCCCAACAAGCGAAGACTTTTCGGGCGTGGCGAATGGAACACTGGCCGAGTTATATTCTTCCTATTCTTCTATGGTTTGGTAACACCGCTACTGCTACTAACCTCTCTGATCTGTTGGTTCCTGGTCTTCACGATACCAATGGGCAAAGTCACAATGCTAGTTTTCTCTCACCTGAGGAGGCATCCACTCGCACTCTCCTTTGAATCTGATTCAACCTATTCTCGGGGCGCTAACATTCCAAACTCATCGATTTTACTCTGCACTTACCGTGCAGTTGGCTTGAAATACTGGAAATATACCATTGATGGTACCAATATCTTCCTGATCAATTTGATGGGCGTTGTACTGTTTGTAATCTTTGATTATTGGGTTCTCGTCGAATGGTTCAACATAGAAGACTTGCCCATAACTAGCCCGGCATTTCTATTTGTGGCAGCATTGTTGTCAATCATTCCACTCGCTTATTTTATCGGACAAGCAGTTGCCTCGATTTCTGCTCAATCTTCAATGGGACTTGGTGCTGCTATCAACGCCTTCTTCTCCACTGTGGTTGAAGTGTTCTTGTACTGCATTGCTCTGAATCAAGGAAAGGGACAACTGGTGGAGGGAAGCATCATAGGGAGTATTTTCGCTGGTATCCTTTTTCTTCCAGGACTTTCCATGTGTTTTGGCGCGATCAAGCGCAAGACACAAAGATTCAACGTCAAATCAGCTGGTGTTACCTCCACCATGTTGTTATTTGCCGTGATTGCTGCCTTTGCTCCAACCTTGCTATATCAAATCTATGGCACAGTGTGTACCCCCTATCTTTTTATCTTCTTCATTCAAATGCTGACAATTTTTAGCACGAACTCAATTGCCTGACCTGCGTTGATAGCGAAGACAGCACGCCTAGTCGAGATTGTCGACGGTGTTATTTCTCCCAAGTGCCCGCTTTGAACGACAGATTTTTCATCGAAGCTATCCGACCGTATTGCTGGTTTGCAGCTATGCTTCTGTTTTTGTCCTATGTGATTGGTTTGTTGTTCACACTTCGAACACATGCTGCCGTTATATGGAATAACGAAGTGGACGAGAAGAAGTTGTCAGAGTCAACCCATTTAGCTGCATCACAGCCTACGCCTCATGCACGTCTCCTAAGACACGGTAGCACTCAGCAGAGCTCTAGTGATGCTACCGCTCGCGGAGCCGAAATTCGTGAATCCCAACTTTACAAACGTATTCTAGGTCAATCTTTGAAGCAGGTTGGATTAGGTCCAAGGGACGATGGAAATATCCCAACTCCTGTCGCAACTGGTCCAAATGGTGGTGCCCAAACCCCTCACCTTCCACCTCCAAAAAGTGGTGGTAATGATAGCGTGCGGTCTGACCTACGCATTCCCGGTTTATCAGAAGCAGAAAACACAAATCTTGTCCGGGAAGTGGCTGAAATGGCTGCCACCGCTGCTACGATTGCTGCTCGAGATGCCACCCGCGCTCCCCGAAAGACTTCTATCGCTGCCAATAACCCAGCGCCTAAAGTACAAAGTCTTCGAGCCGGCCATGTCATCGACGAGGTTGTAGAGGCCGATGCACATGCAGCCGGTGGTGGACACGACGCGCCGAATTGGAGCAGAATGAAGAGTTCCGTTATTCTCTGCGGAGCTACAGTATTGTACGCTATGATCGCTGAGATCTTGGTCAATACCGTGGATGTCGTACTAAGCAATGTTGCAATTGATGAGAAATTCCTCGGCATCACTTTGTTCGCTCTGGTTCCAAATACGACAGAATTTCTGGTAAGTTTTCATGGTGTATCTCATTCCGTTTAAAGCTAATGCCATCTACAGAACGCCATCTCATTTGCCATGAACGGAAACATTGCCTTGTCGATGGAAATCGGATCAGCATACGCTCTCCAAGTCTGCCTTCTTCAAATTCCTATGCTTGTATTGTTCAGTGCCCTGACTGCATCATGGTTCACGGGACCCGATGCTGCTGATCATACATTCAGTCTCATCTTCCCTCAATGGGACATGGTGACAGTGATTCTATGCGTTTTCCTCCTCAGCTATATGTACGGCGAAGGAAAGAGTAATTACTTCAAGGGCTCTATTCTCATCCTGAGTTACCTCGTGGTCATTGTTGGCTTTTGGTTCTCGGGAATGACGGATCTAGAAAATATGGGGATGAGTCGGTTCGATATTATGGATGCCGGGGGAAATTTCAAGACAATTGGGAAGGGCCATTCGGGGGTGGCCTTTCAGTGATTGATATCATGAGAGAAGAAGAAGAAGAAAAAGAAGAAAGAGAGAGGAAAAGAGGCCATGAATGGTAATGCATTTGTGCAAGCGCAAGAAGTATAGAAGGAAGAAAGGTTTCCTGGGCATTAATCATCATTTCTCATATCCAGCGTTGGCGTTACAAGGGGGAAACTGGTTTCTTTCTCTTTCTTTTTCGTTTTTGAGTTGCTGTTGTTCGCTTTCATTTTGATACATCGAGGCTTGACTGGCTGGATTTGCTGCTTGCTTACTTCCCCCTTCTTCATATTTTTTTCTTTCTTTTCTTTCGTTGTGTTTGTTCTGCCCCCTTGGAGTTGTATTTTAAGAATCAAAAGAATTTGAAGATGGGATGCATGGTGGGGTGGGGGAGGTTTGGAAGGGATGAATGGGGATGAATGGATGGAGGAAGGGAGGGAGGATGGATCGGTCTCTTTTGCTATGTTGTATGATAGATAGATGGGTGGATGTGGATGTGGATGTGGATGCATGGCTGGGATGGTGGGGATGGGGATAATTAATGGATGGCTTGATTACTCGAATTCTGGGCTTCTGCGTTTGTGAGTGAAGTGTATAAAGTGAGTTTGTGTGATGAGTTATGCATGATTTTTTGTTTGGAACTGAATCACTAGGAGCGGATCACTGTCTGCCTCGGGGAATGGGTTACACGAGGTTGGGAAGGACTAATATTTGAATGTCTTGTGATACTCATCGACTCTTCCACTCATCTATCTGATGTGGTGTAGACTATCTATTATATCAGATCCTTGTCCAATGAATCACCTACGATACGAGTACGTAGTCAAGATACCATATATAACTCTACTACCGTCACGCAAGGTGGATTTTAATGTTATCTCCCCGCCTGTAAGATTACTTGTAACCATCCAACAATAGGTAGGTATCCTCGAAAGAAGAGTCCATATTCCAGTTTATGAAAGATTGGTTGGGAAGTATACAGTACTAGACTTTAAACAATAGCCCATTTCCCGTCTGAACACCAAAAACAGCCAAAACTTACTACTTTTACTATAAGATTATACGTCTAATTAATAGTAAAATACCCTATTTTATTAGCTCTACCTCTTTATATTCATATTAAACCTAGGGATTTCTAAGCTGAATTTTATAAATAATTAAAATAGGCCTTAGGATAGTAGAGCGCGTAAGAGTAATGTATTTTTAGCCGGAAAAACATCGGTTTTATATATAAATTTTAGGATTTCTAAGAGTACAAGTTGTTATTTCTATTCAACGCAAGCCCTGTTTGGAACTTGACCCACTTAGCGGACTAGATTCGATGCTGCGTTGGGGGATATGTAGCGAGAGGTGGTACTGTGAAGCTAGATTTTTTAAAGGGTTATGGGAGGAAGGGAGAAAGCTTGGGAGGTGTTAAGTATAGCTAGCTAGCCTCTTGAACTGTTCTCTACGGTCATGGCGGTACTCCACTTCGCTAGCTTGCTCCTAGAGTCTCGCCTCGGGAGTCGGTTTTCTCGTCCACTGTTGAAATGAGGGTTTGGGACAGCTAGCGAAGTACTGCAACTAGTAACTATTTGCGCACGATTTCGATTTCATTGGTCGATAAGTCTCCGTCGGACTACGGAGTATACGGAGGTAGACCTTGTCGGGAAATACTGTACATAGTGAATCCCCACTCCCCTCGCTTAAGATCAACACCCAAAGAAGATCGCTAGACGGCAACGGTAGACGGCAACGGACCTTCCAGCCCCCGCTACCGCCGTGATATTTATAGTGAATGTAATAACTTATAATTGACCTTTCCTATTTTGGAACTTGAAAGTTTTGTTGCATATCGCACTGAGGGCTGCACCTTGGGAAATTGATACTTGGGGTCTTTGAGAGCGGTGGATGGGGTCTCTGACCCCTGACTTGGGGGGAGGTTTATGGTAAATATAAATTCTTGTTATTACACTTTCCTGTTTAGGGACTTGAGAGTTTTGTTGTATTTTGTATAGTGGGCTGCACCTTGGGAAATTGATACTTAAGGGCTTTAAGGACGGTGGATGGGGTGTTTAACCCCTGACTTGGTGGGAGGTTTATGGTGAACTCTCACTTCCCCATCCCCTTCCCCTTCCCTATCAATACAAGAAGTATCTATTCTATAAGGAAAGCTTTCAGAAATGCGTTGTATGCTTTCGACCTCGATCGATCGCTTTACAACACTACCCCTCCACGCGTAGCGATGGTTTCGAAGCTAACAATCTCAATATTAGTAACCTTACTTGAGAGATAAGGAAGTGAAGTTTGATAGCATCTACAAGTATGATGGGTTGGACTACTTCCCTTGCGCGACTCTTTACAGGGACGTTAGGACGATAAAACACGTACATTCCAGGATGCAGGTTGTGGATTCGGTTTCCCGTCTTCGTGGTGAGTACTGTAGTGATCCACTGTGGAGGAAGATGAAGGAAGTCTTGATTTCAAGAGAAAGTAGAAGTGAAGGGGTTTGTAGATAGGTTGGGGATAAGCAGTATGAGATTATTTTTAAATAGAAGCTTGATGGGTAATTATGGAATTCCTTGCTTGTCTCTTTTTATGAAAGCAGTTTTTGTTTTTCTTGGGTTTTGGACGTTGCCTTGTCTGTTACTTTGTGGCTTTTGGCATCGCTATAGTTTGATATTATTCTAATCTCTGCGGGAGTTATGTTGACAAAGTTGGGTTTTTTTATTAGTAAAATAGGGTGGGTATAAAAAAGTCGGATTTCTTACTAGTAACATATTAAATAGTGACTAACAAAGACTAGCCCCTGTTTAGTAAGACTGAAGTCGGCTATAAGGTATAATACCTTCCTAGAATCTAATATTATCGAGTAGTAGGGTGGCTGTCAGAAGACGAATAGGACACAGTGTGGAATAGGACAAGCATAAGGTCGGAAGCTAGCTAAGGGGGCAGGGAGTCTTTATAAGACGACCCTGACCGAGTGGAAGCTGCTAGAATACTAGGCATCTACCTAGGCAACCGAGACAGGTCAGGCAGCAGAGACAGGAGTCTCGGCTGGCTAAGACTATGCCGTAACAGTGGCTGTAAAAGTTATACGTCTTTTGTTTCTATTTACTTATTTACTTGTTTACTTGTTTACTTGTTTATCTACTTGTATACTAACAAATGTCTACCTACCTAGGCAGAGGGAGGGGGAGTGGGAGTATAGGGGTATCAGAGTATAAGATTATAAGAGTTTAGGGATATAGGGGTATAAAGTTATATGGGTATAGAGGTATAGGAATATAGGAGTGTAATAGAAGTAGGGAGGCAAAGGTAGAAATAACAAAGTACTTACAGGTAGTTCACAGAGCGCATTCAGGAACTAAGTGATTCTTGCATGGCTATTTCTATGAGTATCCGTTGGGCCATATACTGAAAGCTATCTTGCAGTTTTAACAAGGGTATCTTACACTTTTCTGCGCTGATACTGGCAAGTTATTTATCATCTTTCACGTATAGAATTGGCAAAGATTATAGGTTGAAAACGCTCCAAGGAGCTTAGATTTAACGTGAGAAACTCTGCTATATAAGTGAGAAAAGGGGGGCACGCGGTGGATAAAATAAGTGGAACTGTTTTTTCCGTGCGTTAACATCACTAAATCATCAAAATCACATATGTTTCCTTGGCTTACTCAATGAGGGTGTTATGAACAAGCAGGGACAAAAAAGTCCCACTTATTTTGTCCACCGCGTTGAGGGGCGTGACGTGGCTATGAAACACGTGATCGGTTCAACTTAGTCGATATTATCGTTCGTGGACGATAGCTTAACTTGGCCTTTGCTTCGAAGAGATAAGAGGTTTGTTAGAGCTAAAAACTCTTGCTTTTTAAACCTAGATATTCCTAAGTAAATGTTACGGCTATGATTAGAGTTTCTAGTATACTAGATAATATACCTAGGTAGTTATCTAGAGGTATCCCCTTAACACTTTATATATACGTCTAGCGTTTTAGGTTTGCGATACCTACTTTTAGACTCGGCTCTTATAGTTATTTTAATATCTATAAAAAGACTCGTATAATCGTATATATATTACATAGCTCTAGTTATTTAATATATACTCGAATTAAGGTTAAAATAACTATTAAAATTATATTATATTTAAAGTTAATATATAACGTAAATTAGATAATTTATCCGGATATTTTATACCTAAAAACTATGAAATACTTATACTTCTATACTAAAAATAACTCTTTAAATACCCCTTAAAATAACCCTAATTACCTTCCTAAATTAGCTACCTAAAATAATCGAATAAGTTATACTTTTATTAGTAAAATTAAGACTAAAGATAACGTTTATAATTAGATCTTATCTAATTATAATTAGGGTTAATATATAATATAAATTTAATAGTTTATTTATATATACTATATTCGAAATGTGACGGTTATGGTCACGAGGGCTGGATGTCACATGCTCGCTTGGCGAGGCGCTAGCGCGCACGACCTGTATTTAGTTCCCAGCTCTCTCGAGCTCTCCTTCTTTCCTCGTCTTTTGTCCTAAGAATAGAGTGTTAATTGTTCTGAGTTCTACCTGAAGCACGTCTGTCACACGAAAAGAGGGAAATAATTATACTTTCTAGCTTAGAATATCTACTTTAAAATAGTCGAAAAAGTATATAAAGTTATCTAAATAATCCTAAGATTCTACATTCTAAAGATTAGTCAAATTACTACTAAAATACAACTTCTTTACTTCTAAAAATAATTTTATAAACTCTTTATTTACTTATAAAAATTATATCTTCTCTTCTACTAATAATACCATAACTTAAGAACTCTTTAAGCCCTAAAGCCTTCGAGAGAATAGTAACTCTACTACTTAAATATATTAAACAACTCTATAGATCTCTATATAATATATATATATTATTATACGCCGCTAGGCGTAAAGTTAACCCTAAGGGTATACGGTCCTTCGTCTAATCTATAACTCTAGCTATTTCTAGCTAGCTCTACGGGTCGCGCCTAAGTTATTCTATAGTATTTCCTTCTTCTATTTAGTATAAGGCTTAGCTACCTACTTAGTAGCTTTAAGAACAAGTACTATAAGGTCCTAGTTAAGGCTTAACTAGGAAAGCTCTATAGTATAGTAGGAGAATAAAAAGAAAGAATATAACTAAATAAAATAAAATAAATAGTCGAGTAACGGAACAACGCTAGTAGTAACAAAAGAGAGAAATAGGAATTAAATGTAACGAATACTCAAACTGGCTAACTAAACTTGGCTGGGTGTTCGCTGGTTGGTATGCTATGATAAGAAGAAGACTATCGGGTTGTTCACTTGGAAGTGAACTCGTTACTTGTATCAAAGATGTCAAACTAATATGATAAGATTGATAACTAAGTTGAGCACGAAGCTCCTATCTAATGGCAGACGTGCCAGTCTTATATAGAACCTTCATGTTCCGCCGTCGCCTACATCGGCTGTCGATACTGGCGATGCAAATGGTCACGTGATTACAATGTAATGAAATCCCTGGATCGCTTAGCTAGTCTAAGCATCCCTATTTGCTATAAGAGATATGATAGTGCT